CATCAGAACTCCCCCATCACATCAGAAGTCCTCCTTCACATCAGAAGCACCCCATCACATCAGAAGTACTCCCTTTACAACAGAAATCCTCCCTTCACGCCAGAAGCCCACCCCAATCACATCAGAAGCCCCCCATCACATCGAAACTCCCCCCATCACATCAGAAAATCTCACCATCACATTAGAAGCCCCCCATCACATCAGAAAATCTCTCCATCACATCATAACCCCTCCCCCCCCATCACATCAGAAGGCCCCCCATCACATCAGAAAATCTCTCCATCACATCAGAAGCCCTCTGTTACATCAGAGGCCCCCTATCACATCAGAAACCCCCCATCACATCAGAAGCCCCCCATCACATCAGAAGCCTTCTGTTACATCAGAGGCCCCCTATCACATCAGAAACCCCCCATCACATCAGAAACCCCCCATCACATCAGAAGTCCTCCATCACATCAGAAACCCCCATCACATCAGAAGCCCCCCATTACATCAGAAAATCTCTCCATCACATCAGAAGCCCCCTGTTACATCAGAAAATCTATCCATCACATCAGAAGCCCCCCATTACATCATAAAATCTGTCCATCACATCAGAAGCCCCCATTACATCAAAACATCTCTCCATCACATCAGAAGCCCCCCATTACATCAAAAAATTCTCTCCATCACATCAGAAGCCCCCCATTACATCAAAAAAAATCACTGCATCACATCAGAGGCCCCCCATTTCATCAAAAAATCTCTCCATCACATCAGAAGCCCCCATTACATCAAAACATCTCTCCATCACATCAGAAGCCCCCCATTACATCAAAAAAATCTCTCCATCACATCAGAAGCCCCCCATTACATCAGAAAACCTTTCCATCACATCAGAAGCCCCTCATCACATTTGAACCCCCCATCCTATCAGAAGCATCACATCGGAAGTCCTGCATTAAATCAGAAGCCCTCTCTTTACATATCAGGGTCCCCCTTACATCAAGGTCCCCATCCGGAGTAGAGACAAACTGATCTGAATCCTCAGTCTCTGCCACTATCTGTGGGCCGGGTAAAATCAGGCAGCGGGTCAGATGTTCTCCACTAGTAGTAGTTCTGGAGACTCCTGCCTTACATAGTTGTTGGAAGATGAAGTTGTTGGTGGCTCTGCAGGCTTCGATAGGTATAGATTGCATCTCCGCTTCCACCATGTCATCTCACAATCTGATTGCAAAACAATTGATAATATTCCGCTCTAGCCAATCAACTCAGTTTGATCGTATACAATCGTAAACAGGTGTAAGTCGATCAGAAGGGATGGTATGGCTAATTGATAGTTTGTGGATTTGATCATTTTGATCAAATTGTTCATTGATCAGATACAAGAATTGAAGAAAAGCAGCTTATACAGTCAGATTGTAATATGTGTGTTGAGCTTAACCCCCGGTTCATATCTCTGCATTCCTGCGGGCCGCGTTTTTTGCACGGGTACGAGAGCCTATTCATTTGAATGGACCCCTGTGACCCGGGACACGCAGGGAAGAAGTCCCTGCACTTCTTCGGAAAATGCAGCCCACACGGGAACCTCGGTTCCCAGTACGGTTGCAATTTCCAGTGCGGGCGACGTGCCATTAGAATTAATGGCACCCACACGCGGGTCCGCATTCTTCTTTGCAGGTGGTGCGGCTGCAACACGGATTTTTGTGTGGATCCGCAGCGGCACCACCCGCTCAGATGTGAACCAGGGGTTAGGCTTGGTTCCCATATATGCATTTTGCATTTGATGCTTTCTCAAGTGCTTTTTGCAGTTTGTTTTGAGTTTTTCTACACGTGTTTTAGATGCTTTTTTATTTATTGCATTTTGTTCAGCTCTTTTTTTTTGTTAAAGTGGAGTTTTTGTGTTGCTGGGCAGAATAAAAATACAAAATTTAAAACACGTCAAAAATGCACTACCATGCATTTCAGCAGCTTCTTCACTGAACTCTATTGTAGCAAAATTGCTGCTTTTTGCTTTTAAAAAAGTCCCTTACCTTTTCCAAAAACGCAACAGCTCAAAAAAGCATAGATGTGGACATGTTCCATAGGAAATGGTTAAACCGCGCAAATACCCAAACCCAATTGTGTACAAAGCAGCAAACACGTGTCACCCTACTCCGTGCTCAAAGAAGGCTTACCAGATATATTTACCATCATATTATAGAGTGGTCAAAATGGGCACAAGGACAATCAGCACTGCCACTGAACACACCCTACCGCCCAGCACTGGCGGGAGATCCCAGGAGTCCTAGGAGTTTTCTACCTTCGTGGGTTCCATAATCTTCTCAGTCCATGGTGTGCAGGCAGTGAGGAGATGATGTGCTTTAACCTTCAGCAACCAATCACAATCACTGAGACGTAATTAAGTGCTGTAACCTCTAGCGACCAATCAGTGAGTGATAAGAATGTGCAGTAACTTCTAGCAACCAATAGGTGAGCAGTAATGATGTGCAGTAACCTCTAACAACCAATCAGTGAGCGGTAATAATGTGCAGTAGTGTTTTATAAATAGCCCCTAAGATTTGTGGCACTCTCATCCTTTGTCTACTCTTTATTTATTATAAGAAAGAGGGCCCACTGCATCATGTGACCGGCCTGATGACTTCTGAAAAAAGGTAAGTACAGAAAAATTGACTACGAGTGAATAGTAGAAAATTACATAAGCAGAGATTACCGTAAATCACTTGTTCTACAATAAAGTCTAAAATAAAGAAGGTCATGAAAAGGAAAGGTTTTATTTAAAATTCATGAACATGTTCATGAGGGAGAGACAGAAACCGGGGAAGGAAAAATATAATGTTCATCACTTACCGAGAGGATCGCTTTACCTGAACATCGATCTCTCTTATTCCCGCCCCATAGAGACACTGTGTACAAATATACCAGAATCTTTTGGGAGCAGGGGAGGACGGACCATTTGGAAACTCGGGCACTGCCTGAGGGCCCGGGGTCAGTAGGGGGCCCCATGAGATGCCCCTGGTACCTTTTTCATAGGCTTTTTTGAATTTGGGCAAGGACACAGGGACCCCATGATCCCCTATTGCCCAGGGGCCCGATGAGTTGTCAGTCCGCCCCTGTTTGGGAGCATTAAGGCCTCACTCACACGACTGTGACTATATGCATTACAGGGTTGATTTACTAAAGGCAAATAGACTGTGGACTTTGCAAGTGCAGTTGCTCCAAAACTTCACTTTGCAAAGAATACCCAATCACATGCAAGGAAAATAAAAAAAACAAAACAGCATTTTTGCTTGCACATGATTGGATGATGGAAGTCAGCAGAGCCTCCTCTCATTTACTAAGCTGTGGAGCAACTGCGCCTGCAGCATGCTTTGCAAAGTGCACAGTCTATTTGCCTTTAGTAAATCAACTCCTATGCGAGCTTATAGGACATTTCTAAATGCAGGTAATGGTGTCAATGGTCTTTTGTACATTGAACGTTTACTTGTGTTCAAGTGCATTCAGTCTAGCTGCATTAATAAAAAAATTAAAATTGCACATCCAGGGGCAGATTAGATACTCGGAAGATGTGTAAATGCATGTAAAGCCCAACTCCAAGCAATTTTTTTTTTCCCATGCAGTGGAGCTGTGCCTGCACTACCCAGGTTAACTGCACGTTTTTTTGTGTGGGTTGAGCAGAAAGCTTATACTTACCCGATCCCTCAATCCTCTTGAAAATGGTGCTCCCCCACGGTCCAGCAGTGGACTGTTCCTGGTCTAGGGAATCTGCTCTGGGCATGATGACATCAGGAGCAGTCCACTACTCAAGACTACTGGAGTGCAGGAGTGCCGGACCTGTACTGCACTGGGAGGATCAGGTAAGTATATCTGCACTCTCCTCTCCCACAAAAAGAAAATGAGCAGATAACCGTGCAATGCGGGTACAGCCCCACTGCATAGGAAAACTTCTTTTTTGAGTTGGGCTCTAAATACAGGAGAAAGTACACCCAGATATTCCTATGGACCTGGGCCACATGCTTGTCACTGATTATGACAAAGCTGTCTGTGTTCCTTTTTACTTGTTTAAGTGATATAAAATACCAAAGGAAGATTTTCTTTAAACAACCTCATCGCAAAACTGCAACACTGAAATATATCTGGGTAGTCTAAGTCAGTGGTTCTCAACTAGCAGGCGATGGCATGCTGCCTCCCTCCTACCAGGTCTCTAGCCAGCTGCAGATACCCTAACCTATCAGAGGGACTCTCAGAAACTATAGTGCCCACCAACCTCCCACAGTGGACCGCAGTGCCCTTCAGCACTCAAAGTGCTCACCAACCTTCCCGCAGTGCCCCCAGTCCCCTGCAGATCCTCCAGCCTCCTACAGTGCCTCCAACAATGTCTCACACTGCCCCCCCCCAATCCTCACACAGTTCCCCCCAGCCCTTGCATCACCCTCCAATCTCTCACCATGCCCCTGTAAAGTCCCCGTGCTCCTGGAGAGATTCCCAGCTCATCCTGAGACCCCCAACTCCCACAGTTTCCTTCAACCCCCTCCGGAAATCCCATCCCCTAGAGGGCCACAAAGTCTGCTACAGAGACCCCTAACGCCCTCTTCCTGTCTCACAGTGACACTCAGCCCCGGCTAGAGCGTTCCATAACTTGAAGACATATTCTGTATTCCCATACTTTCTTTAGTGAGAATAAACATTATTTTTACAGTTGGGAATGTTTAGGAAGAATATATTGGGCTCTGGTCTCAATAACACTGAGAACCCCTAGACTAAAACATTAAATTTCCTGAGTATTGGTAAATTGTTAGTCTTCATTATAACCAAAAGATGAATGTTTTGTACAGCAGATGTAAGAACATATAAATAGCCCCTGCAATGATATTTCATAACACTAGTAAAACAAGAACATCTGTTCTTAATGGAATTGGCAGAGCTAAGTTGGCTTATCCAAATCCCAGATTTTTCTAGTCCAGCATTCAACTCCACAACATGTTTTGAAATTCTTACAAAATACACCATGAGTGTTGCTAATGGGAGTTTTTGTTGGACGGCCCTGTAGGAAGGTGAAAGCTGTATTCATTGATTACAACAGTTGCATTCTTCAACATCTCATAAAACATGGACAAGGTTTTTTGGTAAAGGTCTCTGTTTAGAACAAATGATCGGAAAAGATTAAGAGGTTCTGCTGTGCGGAAGTGTGCCGGGAGACTGACTGTCTCTGGAAGTTTGGAGTTTCCAATCATAAAGTGGTGGAGTCTCTTCTCCAGCAGACATTTCTCCAGGCTCTTAAACATGTCCCGTAATCGGTCTTCTAGCATGATGTTACTCCAGTCATAAAAAGACTGTTTCAACAGAAGATGCAAGAGGACTGTCTTTAGGTGGTAACTTGTCAGGCCGCTTGGGCCAGTTATGTGACATTGCTTGGAATGTAGAAAAGTCATAATTTGTAGGCAACTGAGGTGGCATGAATTTCCTGGGAGATGTTTGGCAATATCCTTGAGAAACCTCCTCTCGTAAACGGCAAAAGACAAGTTCCAGTGAACGCCGGAGACCAAGTTGGTTGCTCGGTCCATGCTGGGGAACTGTGAAATAAAATACAGATCAGAGTCTTCATACTGAACCACTGGGCTGATGTTGAAGCTGATAACCTTTCCTGATTTGAATTTGACTCTCAAAGCTCCTGGATAATCTAAGTGGTTGAAAGTGAGTTCAAACTCATACTTGTGTGATATCCTGCCCCAGGCTTTTGTTATGGCTGTTTGGAACCATTTCATGACCTGGTCTGTGTCTAGATAGTTGGATTCCTTTGAACATAATAAATTGACATCCTTGGTGACCTTCTTCTTGATGCTCGGGCTGTGAAGAAGACAAAGCATGTCTTCCCCAAGTTTCTTCCTGTCGCAGACACAACCTGATGAATCTTCAGGTCCACAAACAAGAATTGTTCCATAGCTTTGTTGGTTGGGAGCAATGGATTTGCTAGTAATCCAAGGTTGGCCGCGGAAATAGTAGGGTTCTGGAGGAGCAAATGGTACCAGCAGGTCACATATCAGTGGTTTATTGACTCTCCAGTTTTCGTACATACTTCCCACACAGATGCTGTCCTCAACTTCCATGTCTGCATCACGGTTACAAACACTTCTTAGTGCTTCTAGCAAATCATCTGCAAAGCCCTCAACGAAACTCCTTGGTCCGAGCCGCGTCATGGGTTGTTGTTCGAATATACTGGTCATGAAAAATAGCCAACATTGTCTTGCTTGGAAAAGGGACACCATGGCAGCTGCTTCCATTGAACAAAAGGTCATCCTCCTCTTTGCTTTGCTCCTGTGAACTGTTATCTAGGAAATCTTGCCTCCACACTTCGATCATCAGGAAGATAATCATTGACATTACACTCCAGAAATCCCATAATGAATCATGTTCGGTGGGCTTGCTCTCGGTTTCAGTGTTGTCTTCTGGGGACGGCTCTCCGTGAGATAAAAGCTGCTCAAGTTCCAGCTGCTGGAGCTTCAGGTTCTCTTCTCTTTCCTTCAGTTTTTGGGCAATGAGGTCATCGGTGGCAGGTACAGCAGAATCGTTACTGGGGAAAAGAAGCGGGTGATTGACAATGGCTGTGACGACCACAAGGCACACCTTAAAAATCCCAGCTTGCATTTTGTTTCTGAAAGATAAAAGAGAAAAGCTCAATTAAAATGATTATGTTTGTATGCCTGCAAAACAAGAGCATTTTACCAACCTGGCTTGGAAAGATTTTTAGATAGTTAGTTTTATATTGTAGTTTATTTTTCACTTTTACAACTACAGACAAGTCTGGTGAAACAGCCCAAGAGATCAAAAATAATCTGAACCTCTCTCACTTCTCTCACTATTCTGATTGCATTTATATATTTTATATAATGAATTCATGTGAAGGCTTTGGGTATATCTAAAGCTAAACATTTTTTTTTATAGTGTGAGGATTGGTTAGAATCACTGTTGGGTTTTTATTACTGTTTGTGCCCTTTTTAGGGAGGTTCATCTTTCTCTTTTTGTCTTGGTGACTACTATCACCAGACATTGAAGGTGAGGAAAAATCCTCCATTTTTGGGTGTCAGCAGAAGAAGATTAAAGGGGAATGCTTCCAATTAAAAATAAAACATCCACCAGGGGTTTAAACCACTCCCTACTTCAACCAAAATTTAAAAAAAAAGTAGATATATTTTTATATGCTCATTTCGAATAAACATCATTTAGCTTCTCCAGGACCGCTATGGGATCCTCAGAAATCAAATACATGCCTTGGCCCCAGCCATAAAGAACTGTGTTCATCCCAGGTGCCAAGACATTTAGGACAAAGCAACAGGTTGCTTCAGTTCTCCCCCTCAACATATACTTACCTCTCCTTTTCTCTCCTGATGCTCCATTCAGCATAGGCCAAGCCCCTATTTGTGAGAGCCAGCTGTCACGGACACACCGCATGTGGATACAACATCATGTTGGTCTAGGTCAGTGTTTCTCAGCCAGGGTTTTGTGGAACTGTAGGGTTCCTCTAGAGCACATGTTTCAAACACATGGCCCACAGGTCAAATCTGGCCCACTAGGACATTTCATGTGGCACCTATCCTGCAGCTGTGGCCTCCCCCTTGTTCCTGCCCCCACCTTGTCTCAGCAGTTGGCAGCAGAGAGGAGGACAGAACTCCTTCGCCAGACCCTGTGCTTCTCTGTGAAGCCGAATTGGGCTTGTGTCTGTCCCTCCCCTGTTTCAGCAGTCAGCAGAATATTGGAGGACTGAACTCCTCCTACAGATCCTGTGCTTCTCTGTGGAGCCGCAATGGGCTTGTCTCTGTCCCTCCCCTGTTTCAGCAGTCAGCAGAATACTGGAGGACTAAACTCCTCCTACAGATCCTGTGCTTCTCTGTGAAGCCGCAATGGGCTTGTGTCTGTCCCTCCTCTGTTTCAGCAGTCAGCAGAATACTGAAGGACTGAACTCCTCCTACAGATCCTGTGCCTCTCTGTGCAGCCGCAGCGCCCCCTCATCTCCACCTCCCCTAGTCTCACCATTCAGCAAAATCCAGTAGCTGACTGCAGCCCTCCTCTGGTCCTCTTCCAGACCCTGCACTTTTGCTTTCCGGTCCCACCCCCAGCTTCTTCCCGGAATCAGCACAAGGTAAGAGGGGTGTGCTGTGAAGTAAGGGAGGGTAGGGGACTTTTGATTCTGATAGTGGGGGGCGGCTCTTGACATCTGAAGTAAAGGGGAGGTGCTCTGGACATCTATTCTTACAAATACAACTGGCCCTTTGAGGGCAACCATATCGCTGATGTGAAATTGAGTTTGACACCTGTGCTCTAGAGGTTGCTAGGGGTTCCTTGAGCAAAGAGCAATTTTTGCCTCTCCGATATCTGACCACTTACACCAATGGTATTTCTAGTCATCTCTAAGGAGGCCATTCTTCACACTGACCACCAATGTAAGAAGCATTTCTCCTACTGACCACCACATTAATGTACCGTGAGCTGTAAATATAATAATTATTGAATGGGTTGCCTGAGACCTTCACCTGAAAGTCATTTCAAAGGTTCCTACATATTTAAGAAAATGTTGAGAAAGACTGGTTCACAGTACTATTACAATAAACTGCACTAATGCAAGGCCACCCACTGCTGCCTCCAGAGAAGATGAGGAAGGATCACCAGGCCAGCCAGAAGACTCTTGGGTTTCCACGTTTCCTGCCTCCACCCCTTGATGGAAGGATCACCAGGCCAGCCAGAAGACTCTTGGGTTTCCAGGTTTCCTGCCTCCACCCCTTAAAGATCATCTGCCTCATTTATATTTCTTTGAATTTGTACATATGTCTTTTTTTATGGGTTTTTGGTCTTGTCATGTGCCGTCATGGGTTCTTCTTCCGTCCTGGGACGTGGGCAGGTCCTAAATGCTGCAGATCAGCGGCATTCCCCTGCAAACCATGTGTGGCCTGATAATGATTCCCCAGGCCGCTGGACCTTGTCGCCGGTTGTCATTCAACCCGGAAGAGAGTAGACATCTGAGTAGTGAGTCTGCAGGGGACAACTCCAGAAAGGAGTGGAGTAGTGCATCAAGATCTGCTTTTGTATTATAACAAGGATAGAGCTATTTATTTTTTATACCTTTTTTTCTATATTTTTGGATTTTTTTATATTTATATATTTTTTTAAATTTATAAGTGGAGTTGGACTTTAATCTTGTCTCCTGTCTCAGCAGCCTCAGGAAACCGCTCTACACCCAGCGCTTCCTAAATGTCGGCTGTACACAAAACAACAAGTTCATGCCGTGTCTCCAGGAAGGGTGAGGCCTCGGCTCCTGCACCTGACACACAGAGAGGGGAGGGTGGCGGTAAGAAGACACGGATGAATGATATCTTTCCTGGCAGAGCTTCAGTTTTTTTTCATATGCATGACAGCAATTGTTACCATTCAGACTGTCATTCTGTGCAACCATAGCTTAAAGGGAAACCATAATGGTTTCAAGTCAAGTTTTTTTTTTTTGGTGATACATTTTTTTTGCTTGCAGGCTGGGCTTCATTTTAGTTTTTTAAAACAGATCATCACCAGAAACAAACTTTAATTTTGTCCTGTCCCTTCCCCTTACTCTCACATTTTCAAGTTTATTAATTTATTTGTTTTGTGATGAATTGATTTTTTGTGCTGCAAAGCTGTATTTCTATCCTAGGTAAGAACGATGTTAGTGTCCCCTGCCCCCCTCACGAATTCTGAGTGTACCCCCGAATGTGCTGCAGTGCTTTGGGTCCTGACAAAGCACTGTGGCACATCTACACATGCATGGCTTTCCCACACATCTGAGGCTTTCCCACACATTTGAGGCTTTCCCACACATGCACAAAAGATTGCTATTATAGAAGTTCCAAAACCTTTCGTATTTTCTGATGTGTGGGAATTCCCCTGGATGTACACAGATATGCTGAAGGACTCTGCAGGGACCTGAAGGCCAGGCAGATTTCTCCAACACATCTGCGCATGCGCCATAATAATGAAAGTGGTGGTGCTGGAAGAGGCAGAATTCCACAAAAGAGGGCTGAAGTTCCTCTATAAAGAGGATCTTAAACATTGCCCCCAAGCCCGGTGCTTCCACTAGGCAAACTAGGCGGCCACCTAGGGCGCATTGCCACCTAGGAGCGCCCTGGGGGAGCCTAGGCACACAGCACAGGCTGGCACTCTGTGTGGGAAGCATGGTCATGAATGATCCTTCAGCTGAGGGGAGGAAGAAAGGACAGAGGAAGATGCCGAGTGTCTGGGGCCAGTGCAGCAGCTGAGCTGCAGCTCCTTCCAGTGTTCCTCTCAGATTCTGTCCCTTGCTGCAAGCCACCCGGGTGGCTGCTGATCACTGTGGAGTTCCAGCCCCTCTCTTCCCATTCATCAGTGGAGGTGGAGCTGCGCCTACAGAGGAAGGTAATGTCCTGACTCTGATGTCTCGTGTCTGTGTGAGTGTGACCCAGCCGGCCGGCCGGCCATCCATCACATGTGCAAAGTGAGTGCTGACATCATCACGGTCCCACAGCCCGCTCTTCTAGTGCCTGCTGATCTGATCTGTGTCAGTGTTGGAGGTGGTGTGTTGTGTCGGATCTGTCACTGTGTGGGATCACTCAGTTTGGGTGTTCTCTGTGTGTGTGTGGGGCTGGTCTGCCTGCTGTCACAGCATTTTGTCTCCCCCCATTGCCTGGGGAATTGCAGCCTGGGATCTGTCAGTGTGGATCCATCATCCTCCACTCACTGCAACTGTCACCCTGACACTGCCAGCCACAGATACAGTCTGTCCATGACACTAATTTTGTCTTTAATGTTGGTGCTGGTGGCATCTTATGGCACTTCTTTTTGCAAATTAAAAGAAATGTAGCAGTTTCATGTTTTGTTGATTGAATACTTTCTACTGTTTTTAACAATTTGTATTTTTTTTGGGGGGGGTGTGCAAGTAGCTGGTCTTTCCTAGGGTGCAAAATAGTCTAGCACCGGCCGTGATTACCACCCATTTTTTTTTAAACCCCTGCTTACTGGTGGTTGTCTTCTGCACAATCTAGATTTCTTTTTTTTCCCTCTCTTTTGTTGTTTGATGTGCGTCGCCCTTCCATGTGCTCCTTGCTGTGAAGGCCAGTTATAGACTGGGGCAGCGGCCATTTTTTGTACTGTTGAATTGTTGGTCGAGGGGAGCACTGGACACCTTAGCTGCAATTGTGCTACATTCTGGGTGTCAAGTGTGCTCCTGTACCTTTAAGGAGGGGTCGGCTCCCTCAGGTCCATCTGCCCTTGGTCTATCCATTAAATACATGTGCCTCTA